AATATATCATAATGGAGAATATTTTAACCATAGGTTTTTTGCCTGTCTGGTACAGGGGTCCAAACCCTTGACCTTGGTGTCATTGGGACTGTGCTCTAATCAACTAAGCTGACAGACCAGCCCTCCTGGTTTTTATTTTTACTTAAATAGTCTCTTCGTCAATTCCTTTGTTAGTCAGGAATGAATCTACCTGCCTCTTGAAAGTCTTTTGCCTTTTTTAGTTTTGTATTTTAGTATTTTTGTTTTGAGCTTCTTGTTTCAGTTACTTTAACTGCAGTAATAAACGTTAGTTGCAACTGTGTGTGATATATCTTAATACATATGATTACAGGATTTATTATTCTGTGTTCAAACGGAATGGGATGATTGAGAAATGGAAAACAAGAAAAAGCACTGTTGGTCAGGAGTAGCAAACTCACTCGAACTAGCTTAAGTTAAAAAGGAGATTTATAATAAGAATACAGGCGTGTCTTAGGAACCCAAAGACAGGGATGCAGTGATCCTCGGGAATGAGTGGGAGGTGGAGATAAGGAAGAGAACTCCCCAATCCATGTTCACTACAAGCACACATGTGGCACAAATGTCAGGAAAATAAGGGAAGAAAGTTGACAGAGAAGGAAATTTAGTGTATCACTTAACACTTGAGTATGAGATTAAAAAGGTTAAATAGCTCCATTGCATTTTTTAGAAAAATAATTCATGCTCATTATATGAAATTCAAACAGCATCAGAAATAAAAATTGTCTAAAATTCTGTTAACTAGAATTTTGATATTTTGATAGACATCCTTCTGGACATCTGGGTATCCAGGAATGAGTGCATGCGCGCGCACACACACACATATGTATACATACAAATGGAATCATACTGCATGTGGTCATTTACCTGTTGTATTCATGTGGAAGTACATACAACATGGATATATTTTTCTGTCAATAAATATAGACCTCCATCATTATTTTAAATGTCTATGTAGTTTACTTAGTATGTCTTTGATTTGTGGGCCATCAGAAGTATTTACTCTTTTTGCATAATTATAAACAATACCATGTATATCCATCTTTCTCCTTGCCCAGTTATCTACTTTGAGTGAATTCTCAGAAGTGGGATTGCTGAATCAAAGAGTATGCCATTTTACATGCTGACACAATTGCCCAGCTGGCTACAGAATGATTTTTCCATTTTATACTACCATCATGAAAGTGTGTATAACGTTAGCTATTTATTGTCAGTGTTTAGCATCTTCATCTATCTGATAGGGGAAAAATAAGATCTCAATTTTCTAAAATTGTATTTTTTTGTTGCTAGTATAGTTGATATCTTTTCATATATTTGTTGTCATTATATTTCTTGAGTCTTATTAATTTACTTTTTCCATTTTGAGGAGAGTATTAATTTCCTTATTGATTTTTTTTTTCCTTTTTGTCTTTTTTCGTGACCGGTAACGGGATCGCAACCCTTAGTGTTGCGCCCGTACTGTGACCAGCAACGGGATTGCAACCCTCGGTGTTGCGCCCGCACTGCGCTCAACCAGTGAGCGGACCGGTCTCTATATGGGATCTGAACCCTCGGCAGGAGCGCCACCGCGCTCCCAAGTGCTGCACTCTACCGAGTGTGCCACCGGGCCGGCCCTCCTTATTGATTTATAAGACATTTTGCAAAATACGAATAGAAACCTTTTATGTCTCATGTGTAAATATTTTTCCTAGTCGCCTAGTTTGTCTTTTGACAAAAGTATAAGTGTTTTTTTAATTTGTCTTATTTTTTTGCCATTCATGTATTTTATATTTTTTGAAAATGGAGCCAGCCAAAAGTCTCAGTCCTTTATAGTCGCAGATTTTCGTTTCATGCTTAAAAAGGCCTTTCCTATCCCTATGTTATAAAACTATTCATATGCATATTCTTTTAGTACTCATTTGATTCCATTTTGAGGATTTTTTTTTTTTTGAGAGTAAGGAAAGAGAGATCTAGATTTTTTCTCTCCCTAAATAGCTAACCCAAAACTATTTATTAACTAGTCTCTCATACTTATCCAGGTTTGATTACATATACTTGGGTCTGTTTCATATGAATCCTTGGTTCTATATCTCGATGTTTATTCTGTCTCACTGATTCATATGTATGTTCTCACTCATATGTTTTTTAACTGTGACTGGGCCATTTTGTTGATTTCTACAACGGATTATGATGTTTGTCTGCTTCAAATTGAATTTTCACGGTGCAAGGTGAAAAATGGTCAGTTCCCAATGCCTCAGAACTGAGAGCCACATGGGAACAGCTGAAGCAAGAAGTAGAAGAAAGTGAACAAGACAAGAAAAGCTCATGTAAACTCATTTTAAAAGGAATCGAAGTGTAGTGCCTGGGATGTTTGTTTTAGACATTGTGGGAAGGGGGCAGGAGGGGAATGTATGTATTTGGTTTTTTGTTTAAATTCAAAGCCATTAAAGCATTCCTAGCCCAGGGAAGAAAAAAATGTGTTTTGCCTCTGCCAACAGTAACATAATTCTGGTCTTCAAAATAAGTGTCTTGGGACCTCAATTCTCTGTTGGTAAAGAAAATTCCCAGCCCATGTGTTGTACCGGAAATTCATTGTTTCCTGAGTTATTTCCTTTCATGCTTAGTGTGGGGGAGATGACCAAATGTATAGATTGAGATTTTTTTTTCCCTTCCAAAATGATTTCTGTGACGTTACTTGATTCCAATGATTTTCATTATTGTTTAGGTATTGCTGCTGGAGGTTTCTCACATGCTTTAGGATATCTTCAGGAAAATCGACTTCACATAAACAGAGAATTTTGGTGAGTCTTTTAAAAAAGATGCTTTTTTTCTTATCAGTTGGCCACACCCCTGCATGGGTATACTTTTATAAAGTGTTATAAGAAACATTGTCTCTTACACTGTCTCATTGGATCTTCACTGTGATTTTGCAAGGAAGGTGTGTAGAGAGCCTGCTCTTAATACTCCCGTTGCTGTTTTATTTTTCCTGCTGGCAGTTTGAGTGATGGTAGGGGCCTAGAAGAAAGGATGAGTAGCTTGTTTTTGACCTTATTGCATGAATTCCCATTCATTCACACCTGTTTGCTTTATAACTCTTTTTTTTTGTGGGGGTGGAGGTAGGTAAGTGCTGGGCAAAGAATTAACATAGAAACTTTTGGTCATCTTTGAACTAAAACTGGTGGTTCTTGGAGCCCTCCAGGGTTGGGAGACAATTGCTCTAGAATGAGATAAAGTAAACTTTGATTATAGATTATTATTGGTTTTCCCCTTTGGTGGTTCTGCTTGGGACTGCATGTTCCCAAGTAGTGTGTATGAAATGCCCTGGGCAGAGGTGAAGGGGGCTCTTTTGCAGGTCTTGGGTATGCCTAGACTGAAGTCAGACAAGGTTGAAGGGTTGGTTTATGCTCCTACCCTCAATAGTTGTATCATGGCACACTCAGATTTATCAGTTCTATTCCTGACCAGGTGCACGACTGGGGACAGGTTAGTTAATCTGTGGTAGTCTCCTTATCTTCATCTGTAAAATTTGTATGTTGGCCTAGCCTAGTCATTTCTCCACCTTTAGATTTTGTGGAATGGAAGCAATAATTTCAGGACCAATTTTTAATACATATTTTGGCTATTTATAAACAAAATCGATTATTCTTAAAGCTGATGAAGAGAGGTTCATGGGAGTTCAATATATGTTTATATACTGTTCTTTTTATTTGGGGTTTGGAATTTTTAACAGTGAAAGATTTATTTTCACAAAATACCACCTACTAACACGATTTCAAGAGAGGAGAAATATTTTAATACTGAAAGAGTAGGAATGTCATAAATTTGCCTTTAGATTGTACATAATTTAGCATTATGAAAACGCTCTTCATTTCCCATGTCTTCCTCATTTCTCTGTGGATCAGTGACTCTGAGCATAGACTAATCACTGGTCTGAGGACCGGCATCGGGAAATATTGGGGTACGTAACTGCTAAGGGCTCTTCTGCCTCTGCAACTGTGTCATTCTTCTGAAGCAGGAAAGAACTAAGAGAGATCAGAGGTCAAACAGAGGAGAAGGGACAGCTCTGTTGGGAATCCCAAGTAGAAATGGCTCATTTAGATGAAAATTAAATTTAGCTGTGTCACACTGCATAGGTGTAAAAATGAAAACTTGACAGTGTTTCAGGTAGTCTGATAAAAGTGCACAGAATCCTCCCTTCCCACCTGGTAGCCTCTGACCAGGTGGTATTTGACACCTGGTCAATTTCACAGGTAGTTATCTGCCTCCAGTGTGGGGATGCTGAGAGCTGGGGGTGAAGCGAGCGAATGCCAGAGTACAGGGAGACCAGTGCAAACCCCAGGTGTGAGGAGCTCAAGGCTGGGTAGAGGTCGAGGGCACAGCAGCCCAGAGTTCTGAGCTAAGGGTGGGTAGGGCCAGATGCCCCCAGGGTAGGGAAGAGCTTTCTTGCCTATAGGATCATCTTGGGCATCCCAGGGTGGATGTTGTCCTTTGAGGACCTGCAGAGGGTGCTAGGTAGTCTGGCTTAAGGGCCTGGAGCACAGTGGACAGGAAACACAGCAGATCTATGCCTTTCCCAAGACTTTAGATCTGAAAGGAATGTGCCAGGTGGATTTTTATGCCATGGTCTATAGAGAATGGAAAACTACACTTTCTGTCTACTTCTCCTTGAGATGTGCGGATGGGTGTGAGGGGTATGGAGGACGTGTGGGTGGAGGACAGAGTTATGCCATGGTCTATAGAGAATGGAAAACTACACTTTCTGTCTACTTCTCCTTGAGATGTGTGGATGGGTGTGAGGGGTATGGAGGACGTGTGGGTGGAGGACAGAATGAATAATGGACTGAATTATTAGAACAATAGAATAATGTGAGGAGGGGGCAACAGTATCACCTATTCCCGGAAGCCTTCACAATCCTGGCTGCTTCTGAGAGTCGTGAAGTTATATGTGGTCTATGTTGATTGGAACGTGGAGGCTCAGTCATTTGGAATTCTTCCCTCAGTGATTTCATTTGTTTAACACTCCTATTTTCTGGAAAACTTAAATGAAATTTGACAGATTTATCGGGTTGTTTTCTGTGCTGTCAGCCCAACTCTTGGATTGCTGTCTGATTGGTATGCCTCCATCGGGCCCTCCATCCCATTGATATTTATTCACTGCCCTTTTTAGGGAAAAGCTATATCCAACAGCAGCAGCAGCAGCAGCATTTGTCTTAAATGTATAGGAATATGAGAGATTACCTGAAATCTTTACATTTCTAAAACTATATAAAGTCATGAGTAAATGCTAGCAGGAGCTTTTATTTTGACATAAACCAGAGGAAAGCGAATTGCTTTCAGGCATCTGGACCAGTCCAATTCTGAATAAAATTTAATGAATGAATGATGTAACCAATCAATCATGTTCTTCAGGCTTTCAGAAGGCTGGGACATTCTGGGTGAGATCTTGTAGGGATGAGCAATTAAGAATTTGAGACAGCTGTGCTTCATAGGAATAAATGTAATGCTTTAGAGGGTCACACGGATGTGTGCATCTCTGTGTGTGTGAGAAGGAGAGAGAGATGGATAGATGGGGTCTGAGAATGATAAATGATTTGTTTAGCATTTTGCATTAGAACTCGTGATGTATTCTAGATTTGAGAATAAATGCAATATTCTGAACTTATCGCTGTGTTCCCTGAAGGCTTCTAAGAAAAATATTTTAAAACCTATTTTAAATGAAAAACATTGTTTTTGGCTCTCTGGGAATTTTTAGTTCCCACTGCTGTTGAGGGAGGGTGTTGAATCTGTAAAATTCAAAGCAGGATCTACGTAGCTATTTGTCATTCTGTACCAGTCACTTCAGGGCTATGACATCAGTAAAGATAAGTTGTTCCTATGCTTCCTTTTCTTCATTAAAAATGTAATATGTTATGCACTTTTGTCTTCCTGCCATCCTCTGGGAGGCTATTTCTTTGGATTACGTTTCTTGCTGACTGTAGACACCATCACTTGCTCTCACACCTATAGGCTCCCTGAGTGGCTGGGAGTCCTAATGAGCATTGTCTTGTGGATCAGGGTTTCTGGACCTGTGCTGGGGTCCCTACTCTGCTGTCAGTGCTTAGCAAATGTTTCAGAACAACAACAATAACAATTTCCAGACTGTTTTTCATAATTAAACTTACTAACTCATGGAGTAATAGAATGTGCTGTTTTCTTGAGCTTTTTGGCTAATTGTGTTTATCCGTTCATTTCTTTCCAAGTTAAAAAGCCCTCCTGGAGAACCCAAGATTTGAACATTTTCTGTCTAAGAATTGATTGGATTTCATGGATTTAATGATTCTAGACTACTTTTGCCTGTATTTGAATATTCTCCTGTAGAACTTGAACCTTTAAAAATTACTCTTCTTTTTTAGCTCTGAAATCCCATATTCTGAATATCTAAAATGGTCATCAAAGCTACTCTATTCTGTTTACAACAGTTTGAATATTCTCCTGTAGAACTTGAACCTTTAAAAATTACCCTTCTTTTTTAGCTGTGAAATCCCATATTCTGAATATCTAAAATGGTCATCAAAGCTACTCTATTCTGTTTACAACAAATCAGAATTGGACAGCTTTCCAAATCCATAAAATGACTAGTACACTTACAGAGTTTAAACATGGCTTTACTAAGATTAAAATAAAGTAAACACTCTGTAAGGCCAACTGTAGTGGTCTCACCACAGCACGTAAAGCCTGGTAAAAGTTGAGGAAAATCCTACTGCTGTGATCTAAACAATAGTCTCATAGAGGATCTTTTATTTAAAAATTTTAAGTCAAAGTATTGCATGCAAATGGCTAAAAATAGGAAACAACTACATGGAACCACAGAAGACCCTAATAGCCAAGGCAATTTTGAGCAAAAAGAACAAAGCTTGGAGGCATCACACTTCCTGACTTCAAAATATACTACAAAGCTATAGTAACCAAAATGGCATGGTACTGGCTGCCCACTCTGCACCCTCAGATGACACACACAGCCTCTGTTTCTTGTTCTCCTGGACACGCTATTTCTTCTCTACCACCAACATACCCCCAATCCAGCCTCTCAATTTCGGGCAGCTGTACCTTTAATTTTATATTCTCAGGGTGAGTAATACCTATATTCTGTTCCGTAATCTCAGTAGAGGATTCTCTGATTTATCTATAGATTCTAAATGTTAAATGTCAGTCAACAGCATTGCTCTATGGTTAAGTAAGTGTTATTCTTATGGGAGCCTGGCTGTGTGGCAGGACTGTGTTCCTTCCTCATGTACTCACAGTGGAGTGTTTTTAAATGGCTTCTCCCTTTCAGAGCCTCGTGTTTTTCTACGCTCTCAGTCATCCTGGCTCCTCTCCATCCCACTGTGTTTGTATAGGTGTCACTTCCAGAGCCCCCCTCCTTGGTCAAGACAGTTTGATTTTCAGGTGTGCTATGTATCTCTAAGCAAGTGCTAGCCGAGAAAAGCTCCTTCCTACTACTGGAAAAACAGCTCAGGCTCTGGTGTCTTTGAAGGGGCCGTAGCCTGATCGTCAGAAGTTGCTGTCATTTATTGAGGACCTGATGTGGTAGGCACGTAGGCAGTTTTGAGGCTGGGTATCTCTTGAAATCCTCACACCAGTGCTGTAGAACAGATGTTATCATTGACATTTGACACACCAAGAAGTTAGACTCTGGGCAAGTGATTTCCAGGACCTCCAATGGAAAGTACTTCTTGGATCCTGGGGTGGGCTGGGGGTGTGGTGGTCAGCTGTGGTTTCATAGGTTGGAAAAGACTTCTTTGACTCCGGTGTGTTTTGCACA